TTATTAGCATCTTGCAAAGCATTTGAAATTTTACCAACTAACTTTCTTATTTTAAATAAATGTTTATTGACGTTTCATTTGTTAGACGTTTTTCGTGTGTTTGAAACTTCTTTTTTAATGTTTTATCATCGTGAAGGAGTAAATTTATAGAAATGTCTACATCCCCATGAAATGTACAAGAGCCTGGTTATGTCGGGATGATCTTCACACATGTCAACGCACCACGAAGAGAAGATGTATTGAAAAATTCACTATACGTACGGCACGAAATCCAAGAATTGTTTTGAGAAGTCATGCTCATTCCTGCTTGAACATTTTATAAGCAAAAATTAATTAAATATGCGAATAATAACTTCTTTGCTCGACGTCTATATAATTACCTATTAAATTCTATTTAGATTCTAAATTTAATTTCAGTGAGAATTTAACTTGTAAATTTTAGTCAAAGGTGAAGTTTAAAAGTTATTATATCTACAGTACAAAAAAGCCGACGGAACTAATTAGTCAAGCCTCGCCATGCGATCTTTTGAGTCGAAAAGCGACCTCTAGCGAAATTCAAAAAAGTTCTACACCAGGGAAAAGCATCTCAGCATCTAAGGGGTAATTCGCAAAATAGAAAACAAGAATTTCACAGCATTAATTCTTCCATCTAATGTTAGATAATCGATTTCTAGTAAAATGTTTTGAGAAAAAAAACGCTGTTACTTGGGTTGGACTAAACTCATTTTATAACCAGAAAAATACCCATTTGAGACCGACGAAGCTAGAGACTGGAGAAATATTCATTCTTCCACACTATATGAAAAACAATGACAATAAATTTCACCAGCCGGGCCCGTGAAATGTTACTAAAACTTGGAAGAAGCGTTGAAGAAAATTGGAAATGTATAGAGTCTCGCATAACACTTGCTGAACTAAGTCTCGCTTATGCATTTTATGCATGAACAAAGAATATACATTTCTGTGCAGAGGCAGTGCAGACGCTGAGGCCGCGCATTGTTACGAGGTGAAGAAAACACGCGCTTCAGAAATGAAAGTCGGCGAGCGTCCCGAACAAAGGCATCTGCATACCAATGCATCTGAGAGCCTCGTCACGTGGCTACGAAATAAAAATTTAACGGAGTTAGTAAAACTTGTATTGCGAGGATAAATTCATTTATCCAGAAACCAGTGTGGAACTAGAAGGAATATATATAGAACGAAATTGTTCAAGTGTGAGTCATTGTCAAATGATTTGCATCGATAAAGTCACGTTTTGAAGAAAAAATTTAGCGTTCATGGACATCAATAGAATATGAAATATTAATAATAGAATCATTCACAAATATATAATATTCACAGTGCGAGGAGAAAATTGAAGAACTCTACAAAGAGAAGCCACGCCGAAGTAGGAAATAATAATTAACAAAATATTTCGAAGCAATTATAAATAAAGTACAAGCAATTTTTTTTCATTTGCGGTATAAAATCATCACATCTTTAAGATTTCACCCTGCTCGTAGGTACGGACGATATATTTTGCTTCTGTGTAATCTTTTTCGAGCGCTTGCAAGCTCATTCTGAGATGATCCAAGCAATTTCCTGATAGGATGAAGAGCTTTCTAATCACCCACTGCAGACCCAGGAAACCTGGCCTGTTCCATGCAGGCTTTGGATGACGCGATGAACTCAATCATTGGACGCAGGACAACTGCCGCGTCGATCTCGCATCCAATCACATCTACGAACCACCACTAATAATTCGCAGGATAACTCTTAAATTATTATATATTATATCGATGAAAGGAAAAATAACATTCAATCAATGCAAATGCTATAATATAGATGCGTCATGCATGTTATGTGACAGTGTAAATAAGCGACACGATTTATGAAGTGGACTTCGGGTTTGATATAAGTACGAGTTTTACTGTGTCAACCGTGAACACTGAAAAACCTTTCAATGCGGTAACATTTTTGTGAACTAAAAAACAATCAACTGAAATATTTCATTCATTGAATGTGTTTGCGTACCACGTGTATTTCTATCGCGTATCGTTAAAAGTGAATCTTACAATTCTACTCTAACAAAATCGAACTCGGAAATAAGCCTGGTGACTTGCCAAGTTTATATGCCTCGCACAGACGAAATTATCTTATCAAACTGTTGAACGGAATTACTTCAAATTGTATCTCACCATGAATAAAAATAAGTAATGCCCCGCAAAAATATTTCCAAAGAAACTTAAATGAAAAATATTTCTGAAATAATATTTTCACAGCAAAAATCAAGTAATATATTTTTAATACAATGGATATAGTATTGTACAGCAAATAAGGAAGTTTAAATAACGAAATCTTATGAGGCAAACATTATCCCGAAAGCGAAGCTTCACGACGTCAGCAACGCTGTACTCGAGTGAGGCAAGCTATGGCTTCTCCTCATTCGTTTACGGAAGTCGATAATTTACTGAAGCCTGCGTCGCTTTCTATCTCAGGTATATCTTGGGGAGGCATTATAGGCTCGGTGTAGGGGCAGGCCATGTGGCAAAAGGTATCGGTCTTCACAGCTGAACAATTACAGACTCATGGATGGCCGTAGCCAGGATAGATACCTTGTACGGCTGATAGGCAGTGTTCAGAAGTGTCTTAGTGCATTAATCTTTGGTCGACTCGCTTCATTGCGGTGAGATTCTACTTCTTAGCCCTGAACAATGGTTGTAACTCATCGTTGCTTGAAAACAACACTCATTTATTTGCTTTGGTAACATGCCTAACACATCAGGACAAAAAATCGCTTTCAAGGTCTTAAAGTTGATGATAGACAACAAACAGGAAAGAAGGACCAATAATTCTTGAACATCTGACAAACTTGCCAAGCTCGATTTATTTACTGGCCTAATGAAGACATGTTCATAAATAAAGTGTCACTCAGAAACAAGAGTTTTATAGTAAATACTGATTCAATGGAGATTGCCCAGGTAGTAGCAGACGGTTTATTAATAATTTTGGTACGGGATCGCAGCCATCTTGATATCATCGAAAAAGCAAGGAAAAAGAGCGTTTGAAAAGAATAAGAAGCACCAGCGGGGTGTAACTATGCTTTCATGACAGTGGCTAACGGGAGGACAGGTTTTCTAGCGTGAAAATCAGGAGTGAAATTTGTGAGACCCGAGAGACACAAGCGCCACACCCTGACGGGGCAGCGTGCAGCCCTGGGGCTGTGGCAGAAACAACAGCAAATGCAGGGAATAACAGCACACGCATGCAGCACTATAAGCCTCAACAGGAGCAGTAAAGAAATAAATTATGCTGCAACTCTAGGTACGCCTCATCGTTCCCACACAATTGTTATCAAAGCACAAAACAGAATCCCAAACATTACATTAGTATCAAAACATCTCCATCGGTTAACCAGGACATTCGCATCGTCATCTGCAGCATCAGATATATCATCTCTTTCAACATCAGTCTTATAATGCAATGCAGCATCAGAGCTTCATAATCATAATCTTTGCATGATCTCCAACATCAAAGTATTAGTTCAGACATCAGAGCATCAACATCTTTATTATCACGCCATGATAATCATGATGGCCGCGGCACCAGCACTAGCATGTGAGCGGCGCGACAGTGTGTGCAGCAGAACCACAAATCAGCGTCAGGCTCGGTTTCTCTGCACTATCAAAGCGTTGATCATCGCACAACAGCAGGTTTGGGCGCCAGTTTGCTTCACTTTGGTACTTGGAGCTCTTGATAGAGACTCGCATTAACTGCCTTGATAAACTTGACAGTTTCCACTAGGAGCACATGATATGTCTGGGCTTATCGCGCCTCTCCCGTCTGCAGGCTTTTACTGTGTCAAAACTCCCTCGAAAATTATCTCATCAAACGAGAAATGTTGGCCATAACAGAAAAGGGAAAAGTTTGCCCTCAAGTTATTGGTACTGCGTCTTAGTTGCAATTTTATCAACCATACGTTCGTGAATTAATTCGTTTAATTTTAAACTTTAGAAATTTTAGAATTCCCAGATACCAGAACTTTCAAATTCTTCCATGAAAAGGAGCAAAACTTGATTTTCAGTTTATTCATTGCATATGAAAGCTTATTATCTGAACAGCTGTAAAATATTCGATATTCATGACAATTAATAATTAAGTTAAGTATAAAAATTCACAATTAAAATGGCTTTTCGGTATTTGTTTTGAAATATTTCGTTGGCAAAGAGATCTAACACCTAATAACGTCTGCAATAAATCAAGTCTGGCGCGTAATAATGAATGAAATCCCTTTTCGTGAGCCGAAAATCAGTTCGTAATCAATTCTGTTTCGAGATTCGGAATCAATCAGATCCTCATTTCCTTTTTTCTTTATATGTTTTCCCTCGACCTGAACCTTTTTTCGTCCGAAATACGCCATTTTGTCTGCTAAGCACGATACGCTTTCAAAACTCGATTAAAAAACTAAGCCATCAAAGTTAAGTCGAGGAAGATTAGACATAGAAATCAAACCGTTGGTTCAATCGTTCATCACGTTTTGTAAATTAACAATTTGTTTATTTTTATTCCCATTTGAAATATAATTTCAACAGGCATTCAACGACTATCGATTTTCATCAGAAAATAATTTATGACAGATAATAGACGAAAATAAATCATTCCCATGCAACGCGCAATTTCAAGCCTTAGCAACAAACCTTTGTATTCCATCTGATGCCAAATGAATACATTTTGAAGTCAGGTTTTGGACTGTTTAAATTCTATTGACATGTCAAAATCACTAATTCAAGTCGGTAAAATACTTAGATGAAAACAGAAGAAAAAGACTTACAAATTTGCCTGGGGTTTTAAAAAAAATGCCTCCGTTACCCAATCAACGACGGCTTTTCAAGCTAAGTTACAGACAAGAAATCGGCTCTACGTATCGGCCAAACTCACAAGAATAAAAATATTTAGAAGTAAACGACAAACATAATATTTTAGCATCAAATTTAACGTGTTAAAAACATTCAGGGACTCACCTTGGGCCACTTTGGGTTGAGATCCCTGGCTTTAGTGGCGTCTTGAAGAGCCTTCTGGAACTGCTGGAGTTTGATATGCGCTGCAGATCTGTTGCTGTAAAGAATGTGGTTCTGAGGGTCCAGTGCGATGGCCTCTGTATAGAGTGCCACGGCGGTGTCGAAGTCTCCAGCCTGGCACGCCGCGGTGCTCTCGTGTACCTTCTCTAAGAACAGGGCCTTGGAGCTCGCCGCGACCCCACTAACATTTTTATTGCAGTTCCCCCCGGAGTTGCCGGCTGCGTTACTCGAGGAGCAAGCGCCACTGCTAGTGGCGCTCGAGGAGGCATTGTTGTTGTTGTTATTGCAATTACCGGAGTTGCTGATGAAGTTGTTGCCGAGTTGACCACCACCACCCTGCACTAATCCGCTACCACTCGCGCCGTTACCACCGCTTGCACCAACATTGCGTTCTGTCTCACTGCCATCCAAGTCAAGCTGCAACGAAAATTAATCAATCGTTAATAAGTACCAAATGAAATTTATATTCGAGTTAGAATGCTCACAGACGCAAACAGTTTGATTAGAAAAAATCGCGACGTAATGAATGACTGATGAATGTTGTGGCACTACATGAACACAGCATTAAAATGACGTGAATTGAATTTGTGAAACTCCTCTCTGGAAATTAATTAACAGAAATGGTGTTTAAATTTAAGAATTTCTAACGTCACCAATAAAATCTGACTATGTCTTCAGCGGAGAAGGCACCATGGCTTCAACTTAATCAATCTGTTGAAATTTTCTTACCTTCTGTAGGCTCTTGCCGCTGCCACTCAGAAGTTTCTTTTTACGCATTTCCAGTCTTTCCATGACAGTATGAGCATGAAAACTACTTTAGCATAACCTTCATCTTCCAATTAAATAAGGATGTATAAATTATCCTTTTCACTCAATCTTATAGCAGGGATCAATCGAAAATTTTAATTTGAAAATTTTTGACCGAAAACGTACTATCTTCTTGCCTCCATGTACATAATTTTGCTGAAAGAAGATCAATTTAAAAAAAAATAATTACAAACAAGATATTTTTTTAGTTTTGCAAAGTCTCAAGTCTGAAAACTATAGAATTTCCGACAAAGCGCGCCCAGGCTGTGAGTATACACCAGAATTCACGCACGGTATAATGTACGTTTCGCACATGTAATTTATTTTAAAACTCAGACCTTCATCGTTCTATTATTTTTCGAATTCTGTTGAAGTGAGATGGCAAATCGTTGAATTTATCGCGGTTATCAATACCTTTGTCTATTCTTTGTTAATAATAATTTTCATTAAACGAATTGGGATATTGTAGGAGTGCCCGTTTCCATCCATGCTTTTAACAATAGAATAAAAGTTCCGGGTTTATCATGAACCGAAGTGGGCAAGCTGCAAGACAGCAACACAATCTCCACATTTCATCTCTGCTATAATTTTTTGCCAGTTGCCCGGGTATATACTAACACAACTGTTCTCGATAACACGATGCCCAGTCAAGAGAAACTATTTAACCATCATCACCACCACAAATCACTGCTCATTAAGGTTATGCACGCCTGTCTTCGTTATTTTATCCCGCAGTAATGGCTTACTGCGATGACCGAGGGAGGTTTTCATTAGGTTTAATTAACATATCGCCGTTGCGCTTAGCGGAGCCCTTAAATATACAATGCGAATACCAGACGACTCTGGACGTCAATCTTTAAGGGTGCAAAAGAAGCACCGCTCCTCGAGCGCTGCAGAATTTGTAGTAAGTGTATCACTACCTGGATATTTATTTGAAAGATGTAAGCCAACAGTCGCAACGTGAATTTGAATCTTAGAAACTTACGACTCATGTGGGAATGACTCCACAAAAATCACGGATAAAAACTAGGATAGGTAAATTAGACAACTAGTTAGTCGTTGGCAAATCAAGAATCGCGTCATATTAACACGTTACCGCGTAAATTCAGAATTATCATGCCAGTGTTTGATTTGTGCAGAGTACAACGAAAATAAAGGAGAAAATTTATCCAAAAGCCTCGACTCCATGATGATTACTCGCTGCAAAAGAATGCATGAATGTGAAAAAGTAAATGTAAAATACGTACATTTATAAATGATAAGAAATGAAGAAGTTAGGGAATCTGTTTTTTTTTTATAACTGAACCTTATACTGTCCGAGAATTTCTAGTACAGTTAGCATTATCGACCTACACTTTATATCGACATGACAGTAATGTCTGCCTTACGGAGTACATCGTCTTCGCTTCTAAAAATTTCTAACAATAGGCAGGCGACTTTCAATGGCCCACAAATTGGAATATTTTAGCTCCCTTGACGCTGAGACCATCTCGTGGGTGATTTGGGGTCACCAAGTTGAAAAATGTTAATGGTTCTCTTGCAGAACATCGAAATTTCCAATGGGTGTCCGTACTACGCGCATTTTTGCCTCACCTATAGCTACACGTTACAGAAATCTAATTGAATTGGGGCTTGTGCGTCATTTAGTGTCTTAAGTAATGACACGATAAGAAATTTTTTCTTCATCGTGTACGGAACTACATTATTAGAAAAAATCTCAATGACTAAAGCACAAATAATATACGTTTAAAAATTACTTTTTAAAGACAACACTTCCAAAGAATCCAGTGTCTCCAATCTTACAGATGTACAATGAATTTCTCATTTAATTTTCGAATATTAAAAAAATTACTTTTTCAACTTTTTAATATATAATTTTTTTAATATATAAATTTGTTTCAAAATTATTTATTCTATTAATTGATTCATGCATTGCTTCCGACTTCGCACAAGTGTGCAAAATTTCAGATCAATTAGACAGAGAAAAGTGTGTCAAATATCAGTTATAAGATTTGTAGCTGACAAAATTATTTTTTCAATTTTTTTAATATTGAAAAAAAAAATTATTTTCAAAATCATTTATTTTGACATTTGATTCATGCATTGTCTCCAACTTTACACAAGTGTGCAAAATTTCAGATCGATAGGATAAGTAGAAGTGTGTTAAATTTCGATTACAAGATTTGTAGCAGACAGACAGACAGACAGACAGACAAACAAACAAACAAACAAACAAACAAACAAACAAGAAGTGAAGTTAAAGAGAAGTGTTGTAAAAAAACATGATATTCCCTTTTAGCTTAACGAAATAATTTTTTTGGGGTGGGGGAGTGTAAAAGCTGCTACTTTATTAAAGGACGTGTAGTTAAGACTTTTCTGGATTGCGATCACATTCTACACTATCCTAAAAGGTTCACTTCCTTAACTTGAGACACTCAATGATTTCATCTTATTAGTTTTTTATAGTATTTTTATTTCATGCTCATCTGAGAAATTTGAGCAATCGATGATCCAGACGAGCGAGCGTCACGAGATGTGATAGCAATGTTGGACAGATACCAAAGGAGGTGGGACACAAGCATGACGGCAGGGTATATACGTATGCTATGGTGTATTCAGAGAGAACGCACGAAAACCGGAGACGCAATCTAAATGGAAATTTCTTCAACGAAAAAGTGAAGAATTTTTACGATTGACTGCTTTTATCAATGCCTAGAGAATCAAGTCATTAGTTAACGAATAGTGATTCTGTCCTTCTTCCAAATTATCATTCAATGTTCTGTTGGCTATTCATAATTAATTTGGGACCTGCCACTCTTGGCAGAATATCTTGACGCGACTATCAATGGCCTAACATCTGACAAATAAATATTTATTCAATTATTCTGTTTAAATCGCTAGTTCTCCAAAAAAATAAAATGAAAAGAAAACGCAAAGTAAATAAGTCAATGATTTTGTCTTTGTCGGAGAAGATACGGTGAACTTATTTTATGTTTTCTTTTATTTTAAGTTCTTATTGACAAATCAAAGAATGGATAAGCGTCAAAATAGATAAGGAGGATATAAATGGGTGTCAGTTTGTGAGCTTAAGTCAATATAAATTATCTAGACCTGTGTGAGCCACCATGTTTGCATTGTGATGGAATTCATGCATGTTAATTATCCCGTTCACAAGTTAATCCGTTATAAATCTTCCTGCAATTAAATTATCCCAACTCGTACTTTAGGCATCCAACAAATAACTAAATAACTTTTGTTTCGCATCAAAAGAAAGGCATTCAAATGCACTAGAAGCAGCACTTAACGAGTTCCTCAAAAGCACCGTGTGCCCTTAACTAAAGCCCCTTTCACACAGGGCAGGAGATACTGCCGCGTCAAAAATGCCGCGGCAGTATTTACAGCGCAATCTTTCACACGAGGCGCTTTTTACTGCTGGGATCTATCAGTCTTGCAGTGCTTTATGCACCATCAGTCCATCTCTATGTTTATGTAACAATATTTCTTTATGAAAATATATAAATGTGTAAATGATGTAAATACATCTCTATGGAAATACCTATATATTTTATGGAAAATATATCTTTTATAAAATATACCTCTATCACTTTAAGGAAATATATATTTAACAATGTATATCTTTATGTTTATGTAACAATATTTATGTACCGATATTTATGTTACAATATCAGTCTATAATCTATCAGTCTAGCAGTGCAGTTTATTATGCACCTAAAATACGGCCCCACTGTCTGCTGGGATCTGGCGTCAAAAACCGCCCAGTGTGAAAGATTACATTGAAAACCATTGCAAGCTAAACTGCGCGGCAAATCTACTGCCGCAGTTTTAGCAGGACAGACGCTGGCGTCAGGCGTCAAATTCTACGCCGCAGTAAAAGCAGTCGTGTGTGAACAGCAGTGCACATTTCGTATGTCCGCTAAGGTTCGGCAGTAAATACTGTCGGACGCTGGCAGTATTTACTGCCCTGTGTGAAAGGGGCCTAAAGCATTCACGACGTCGTCAATTACAATGTCGTAATAAGGCTGTCTGCTAACTGCCGCGGTAGCCTAGTGACGTAATAATGCGTAACTGGATTGAAATTACGGCATAAGAGAGCAAGACCAATTACTGTTGAGAATGGCTCAGTCTGGCCATCACGACTGCCCCGTGCACGCATGAATGGTTGACTATCCACCAGCCCCTGCCCCGACGACTGCTCTTCCGTAACGCGGGGCTCAGAGTTCAGCCTCACAAACTCATCGATCAAGCATCACTTTCTAAAACTTTTTAGCCTGTGCGAAATATGTTCGTCATAAAAATAACTGGGAGCTTTTATTTTACTGAAAACTGGGATTTGTATTCGGTTGAAAAATTACATGAGTATGAATTAATAAAATTTTAGAGACATGTTATTGCTACCAACAATTGAAATTATTTAAATCAAATTCTACGTTTTTTATTGAATAATAAGACACACGACTAGCTTCAATGGAAGGTACTCTCAATGAAATTAGACTCCGAGAGTAAGAAGCGAAGGCAGCAAGAATGCTATGGAACAGCGTGGCGTCTGGAGATGGTGGGCTTCGTATGAAAGTTTTTACGGTGCATGGCAT